CAGCAGTTAAGTTCGCATGTTCCACTTTGGCGGCGTGGGGTTCACCGGTTTGGATCCTGGGTGCAGACACGGCACCGCCTGGCAAGTCATGCTGTGGTAGGCGTCCCACATATAAAGTAGAGGAAGATGGGCATGGATGTTAGCTCAGGGCCAGTCTTCCTCAGCAAAAAAAGAGGAGGATTGGCAGCAGATGTTAGCTCAGGGTTAATCTTCCTCAAAACAAAAGATAAGCTTCATGGGGCTGGCCCAGTGGTGTAGTGGTTAAGTTTGTGCACTCCACTTTGGTGGCATGGCATTCACTGGTGTGGATCCTGGGCACGGACCTACACAGCACTCATCAAGCCATGCTATGACAGCGTCCCACATACAAAATAGAGGAGGATTGGCACAGATATTAGCTCAGTGGACAATCTTTCTCACCAAAAAACAATAAACAAATAACCCAAAAAACCGACAAACAAAAAGCTTCACAATAACAGGGATTTGTGTATATTTTGTTGAATGCTGTTAAAAAACAAAATTCAGCTGACTAAATTTTAGAGATGGTATTGGCTTTATTCAATGATTCGTGAGTCAGGCAGCATCTCATCTAGCAATAGAAAGGCCCTCCGAAGAGCTGTACAAAATGAAAAACTTTTATAGGCAGAAGGAGGCCGGACAAGGAAGTTACACTGCCTAAGAGCTGATGGTTTGCGACAAGGTCACCCTTCTTTAGAGGACTGCAGACGTCTGTCAGGCAGATGACCTCGCTAGTGCTGACCAGGTAATCCCAGATAGACTGGTTTATGGTTTCATTCCTGGGGGAGGCTGAAACTGTTAAGTTAGGTACAAGTCTCAGTTTGCAGACATGGGGCTTATTAGCACAAATGATGCCATTTCTGGCCTGTCACCTCTTTTTAGCAATGCTTTATCCAACCTGGAAAAATTCCTGGCACAAAGGAGATCTTCAATAAATATTGTGAATATTAATATAAATAACAAAAAACAACACATATAGTAGTTATTATGTACAAGGTTCTGTTCTATAGGCTTGTATGTATCCTTAAAATAGAATTATGTAATAATGTATTATCACCCTTACCTTATACATAGGGAAATCAATGCATGAAAATGTTAAGCAACTTGCCATAGGTCACATAACTAATAAGTTGGAAAGCCAGGGTTTGAATCAAGGCAGCTGGCTCCACAGCCTGCAGTCTTAGCCACCATGCTAAATTGAAAATACAAATGAAATACTAGATGCACGCTTTCAATTATGCACACTTCACAAAGTCTAACTATAATATCCAGAAGCATTATCTTATGTCAACTCTCTGAACAGGCTTAATGATTAAGAAGAAATACTGTCATTGGATTTATCTTTAAAATTCTAGCCTTAAAAGGCAGGGTAAATGTAATTGGCAATAGTGTGCCCTTTGAAAGATGTCACTGACATTAACAGAAGATTTCTCAGGGCTTAAATAGGCTTTCCAGAGTCAAAATCTCTTTGAGACCAAGCCCTTGCTTAGTTCAGTAAAACAAGCATTCAACTCACAACAGTAGTGCCTTCATTAATGGGATGTCAGATTGCTTGCATTGTTAGCCCAGTCTGCTCAGTATGGTGCACAGAAAACTTCTGACCCAAACGTCTATTTTTCTTGTGATTAATATTTTATTAAGCATTAATAAATACAAAAAAAAAGTGCCTAAAAGGAATGCAATAATGTTCATCTCCATAGTCACAGAGGGAGATAATCATTCTTGGTATACGGCATATACACACCACTATAATGTTTATCCTGGAGTTTTCCTCTGAAATTTTAAAACTGTGTTAGAGCAAAGAATTTGTCTAAAAAGACAGTGCATTTTATTAACCAAATGGAAAAAATAATTCAGTTTCTAATGACCTGAAATGCTTTTTAAAATCTGTTAAAATGTTTCTTCATCTTTAAAATGAGGATTTGGGTTGTGCCTATGGCTGTGTCCATAGTCCTGTGAAATAAACACGGCTACGCTGAGGTTACTGGGATGCATATAGGACGGAAGAGCAGAGACTTAGAGGGACCCCACTGTGCCTTCTCATGTCTTCCTTAGGGCACATAACTGCTATCATCTTCCAGAATCTTTATTTACATTTACACATCTTCATGGAATTTTTCCAGCCTATGGAAGTTGGTGTAATTTGCATCAAGTTTAAGAAGTAAAGAATCACAGATTATTCTGGCCATTTTAGTAATAAAAGCCCTCATTTATTGAGAAAAATGGCATGTGGCTGATTTGCATATTTTGCATTTAAACCTCCCAACAAATCTATGATGTAAGTGTTCTGATGGTTGTTTGAGGAAAATGAGGTGCAGGTTTACAGGGTTTAAGTCAAGGACTAAGGCACCCAGACGGTTATTGATGGAGGGAGTGAAGCAGGTGTGGAGAGGGTGTGGCTGACCCTGGCTTAACCTCTGTTTAAGTCGTAAACCCAAGGGCATATAGCTGGGGAGTGGCAGAGAGAAGTGAAATGAAGGTTTCTCATTTAAAATTCAATGTGATTCATGACATCTTACTTATTCTTTTTCTATGAAGATATTCAATATCACAAATGTAAAAGCTTTTCTTTGTGGATTGGGATTATTTTCTATTACAGATCAAGGATAAGCAGACTAAAGGGCGGAGGCTGTGGATGGAATCATTTTTATGGTCGTCTCTGTGCCACTTCTGAGGGCAGCCAACACAGTCGAGCACACATTCACTTCTCTTGCATCTCCTGCCAGTGCTCCCAAAATGTGGGATGAGCTTTACCACCTGCTTTCAAGAAGTTGACACCCCAATAAATTCACACACTGTGGGTTTAATAACAGGACTCCTAATGACTAATGTAATGTGTAGCAATATACCTTTGCGGGTGTGACATTGATGAGAAGATAAATGGTCCATGGAAGAATCCCTAATTTACTTTGCATATTCTAAGCTAGAAAATCTAGGCTGAAACAATTGGTGTATAGTAATGGGTATACCAGGAGGGGAGAGCATAGGAAGGAGAGAGAGAAAGATATATATATTTTTTTAAAGATTGGCACCTGAGCTAACAACTGTTGCAATCTTCTTTTTCTTCCCTTCTTCTTCTCCCCAAAGCCCCCCAATACATAGTTGTACATTCGAGTTGTGAGTGCCTCTGGTTGTGCTATGTGGGACACCATGCAACATGGCTTGATGAGCAGTGCTATGTCCATGCCCAGGATCCAAACCAGTGAAACTCTGGGCTGTCAAAGTGGAGTACGTGAACTTAACCACTCGGCTGTGGCGCCAGCCCCTGAGAAAGATATTTTAAAACTCAGATTGTGAGGATAAAATGATTTACTCTATAGAATTGAAATCACTGAACTGAATATTCTTTTTAAAGTTTAATTTATAGTTTTGTTGTTAGTGCCATTGAGTTGATTTCAACTCCTAGTGACCCTGAGGACCTGAGAGCAGAGCCCTGCCCACTCTTTCTGCGCCATCCTCTGACCTTCTGGAGCTATATGAGACAATGCTCCGCTGCTATTTGCAGGGTTTTCTTGGCCAATTTTTTCAGAAGTGGGTGGTTAGGTCCTTCTTCCTAGTCTCTCTAGTCTTGGAGAACCACTGAAACCTGTCCACCATGGGTGACCCTGCTGGTATTTGAAATCCCAGTGGCATAGCTTTCAGCATCCCAGCAACACACAGCCATTGCGGTCTCACAACCGATGGATGGGTGGTGTGGTTCCCTTATGGGGAAACCATCCCAGGCCATGGCCAAGAGAGCATAAAATCTTAACCGCTAGACTACGTAGTGAGGATGTGGTTAGCTGGCTAGTTTACAGCTAACATAGGCTTAAATATCCTTAGTCATCAGCTTTCTAAGTCCCCCTCTAGTTCCTCCTTACCAAGAAGCTGGGGCTACCACTGCATCCGTGAGTTGAATTTCTGTTTTAGTTTAAATCAGAAGCTTTCTCATTTGAGAATTATCCCAGGTTGGTCGATCCTCTTGTATTTGTCCTGTGATTGTCTGTGCTATGACTGAATAATTTTTCACCTGAGCCCCGTTATTTCTGAGTTCTCCATTTTGAATCTGAAATTGCTCAGAGCTCATTTTACACTGGAATTTGCTTCTCCCCGAAATGCTGAGCAACAGGCTAAGTGGCTCGTTTTACGTCTCACATATGCGAATGATGTGCCTGTTGCTCTAACTCCAGCTCTTTCTCCATCCGTTTTTCTGGCGTGTGTGTGTGTGTGTGTGTGTGTGTGTGTCTGTTTGTGTGCATGTGTGTTCTCTACTCACTTGAGAGCTCCCTTGACTGGATATAAAATGACAGTTTATTTTACCTCTTCCCCCCATGTTAGGATGATTCATAAGTATTGAACCTGAACTGAAAAGAGACTCCCTGTGGTCTAGAGTCATGACTCGTTCTATAAAATTTCATTATAATCCTTTGAAATAAGTGTCCTGGGAGCAAACGTGTGTTCACTCATGAAGACAATGTGAAATGATATAATTTATTTTTCTTAAATATTTTTGTCGTTGTTGACTAGGATTTTCCCTGAGCCAACATCTGTTGCCAGTATTCCTCTTTTTTTTTTTGCTGAGAAAGATTCTCCCTGAGCTAACATCAGCTGCCTGTCTTCTTCTATTTTGTACGTGAGCCACTGTCACAGCATGGCCACTGAGAGTAAGTGGTGTAGGTCCATGCCCAGGAACTGAACCTGGGCTGCTGAAGCAGAGTGCACCAAACATAACTACCAGGCCACCTGGGCTGGCCCTTAAAATTGTTAATTTAGGAATACCTTCATGTAGATTTTTCAAAATTCCTAAATAGTGCATTTAAAACCATTTTTTCCCTAGATAAAATAAATTTTAATGTTTTATTCTGACTGGGATATTATAAGAAAACGTGAAGACATTTAATAAAAATTTTCAGTTGTCACATTTTATTTAGGTTCTATTATATGTAGAGTAATCCTTGGCATATAATTGTAAGTGTTTTGAACTTTAAAATTTTTTTTTTTAGATGAAAAGTTTTGTGTTCAGGAATTGTGGCTTCTAAACTGGATCGTCTTGATGACAATCTGTGGGCAAGTGTGGGCTCTTGGCGTCGGGTTTCTCCCCTCAACAGCAAAGTGGTAAGATAGATAACATCTATGATTTATTTCACGTCTAATATACATTTTCTTTAAGAAAGGACGTTTCAGGGACCTGTTGAAGTTATAATTGTTTACTTAATTTTAATCACAATGAATTTCCTTTGAAGTACTTAAGTCTTACTATGTTGGGTTTGAAAGAAGAACAGGTAAGTGTTAGCCATGGTTTCTGGTCTTTGTGCATGGCTGTTTTATCAGCTGGCTTGCATGCGCCGTCTCAAGCCTAGCAATGAATCTTATGACTAGTACGTGACATTCGTTGTGATCTTGAAATTGGGAGGATTTAACTCCCCCATAACATAAAATATGGGGTACATTTCCATCACCAGGATGTATAAGTAATAAGAATGTGAAATATTCTCAAACACTTTTGTGCTTAACTTTTCATAGAAGGGAGAATCTTGGCTCTCAAGGGGAATCATCTCCAATTATGCCTACGAACCTGAATAGCATTGTCTGATGGCAATGTGGTAAACATTTAAAACAGAAACTAACCAGTATGAATTTCTGATAATGTTCATTAAAATTTCTAACATGATGTATTATAAAGGAGCCTCAAATGCAATATGTTGGCCCAAAACACTTGGCAATCTACTAGGTATATATTCTCTCCTCCCATAGGAGGCTGTATTTATAGGCCTTTTTATACATTATGGGACAGATTTCCATTCCATGTTAAAAACGTAAAGCTGAAAAGTATATTTATCCATAATTGTTGTGCCCTATAGCAGAACATTTTTGTTAACATTTTAGAATCTGATAAGCTTGAACATTCAAATTAATATTTGAGTGAATTTCAATATATTCTTTTAAATTCTGTTGGTACATTTTGTATTCATTGAGGCCAACATTGCATCTCTATTATGTTTAAGACAGGGGCTGCAAAAAATTTTGGGGAAAAAATCCCATGGCCCAATTATATTTAAAATATTTCCTTATAATTTTGGCATTGTTTGGTAGATAAAATTTTATAATTTTAAAGAAAATAATATCTTTTATTATTCATTTCTATAATATTTGGAGTAATATATACATACAAATACTTATTTGGACAACTCAATAGAAGCAAAAGAAATAAACATCTGTCAAGACTGCTAATACTGTGTAACCCTTGTAAACATTTCAGCAAGTCTTTCAACTGTTTTGGGAATAATTGTGCCCATGTAAGTTTATGATTAAGAGCATCAGTAAAAATAACTGTCATGATGAAATGCAGTCTATTCTTCAGTAGATTATTGGCTGTTTTATGTTGCCATGGCTGATTCTCCACCTTCTTTCCAGTGTTATTTGGATAGACGGTTTCTTCAATGAGCCAGGAAGTATAAATTGGAAATATATTGAGCAAATTGTTCAAGGTGTCTTGTTCCAAAGAAAGAATAATTCCTCTGTTAATATTTTATAGCTTCATGCTAATGAGGAGATTCTTCAGCTAGCAAGAGAGCAGTTTAGACCACAAAGTAGGAGTAACTTTGAAACTAGGAGAAGAAGTGAACACTGAAGTCTTTGCTGGAATGTTGTGGGCTTTTTCAATGTTTTCAGCCTCTGCTAATAGTGCATCCTGCTTAGTGATCAATCTACTCAGCCCTTGCTAGCTCAAGGCTTGATTTTAAAGCCTAAAAATCTTCCTTAGTTAAAGGAAAGATGGCATGAGGCAGAGGAACATTAAAGGCAACAGTACAAATGAGGTCTGTTAGCAATGATCAAAAGCAAAATGTGAAAAAATGTTAGCAGGAAGAGGAGGGTTATCCTTTCTAACTCGGGCTAATGACTTTTTTTCCTTTAGATTCAGCTAAGGATCTTACCTCAAAGCCCCTGAGTAAGAAGTTTTTATTCTTGTTTTGGTTTTCAATTTTATCCTTAAAATGAAGTTTCTAAAGTATGTTAACAATTTGGAAAGAACAGTGACTTAGACATTGAAGGACTTGATTTCTTTTTTGGGCTGTGCCCCTAACTAGCTGTGTGACTTCGGGAAGTGACCTGACGTTACCAGCGTAAATATCATCATCCCTAGAAAGAACGTGGCCACCGGGTTTTCTTCTCTGTAACATGATTTCATATTTCTTTGGAATCACATCGCCCTATTAATTGTGTTAAAACATAATCTTTTTCTGCCTGGAGGGTTCATTGACTTGGGTTTGCCTGGTTTAGCATTATGATATGGCATCACTGTACATTCCATTTCAGTAAATATTTCTTTTTATATCAAATGGGTAGTAACTCTTCAGCAATCCTTGCTAGTCTTGTGAGCCATGTAAGGGATGCACCTGTCATTGGTCACACTTCATATGAAATGCAAATGTTGCTGTTTTTTCACGGAATTTTATGTTCTAATCATGACCTTGAAGAAAACTAATGTGATATTAGTTTGATGTGCTAGATTTTGACCTTGAAAGTACATGCACACGAGGGATTTATGTTACTTTTCTCCAGGCTTCTTTGAATATTTTTCCCGAAATCATCTTGAGAGATCTTTTAGTAATTGTTTCCACAAGAATTCATACAAACATAATTGAACTTTTGGGCAAGAGATGCTAATATTGCCAAGTTATTGGATGTAAAGATATAGGAATTGCTAGAATAGTGTAATCATGAAATAGAATATTGATACTATATTAAGTCATCAAATTGAATTTGTTTACACTTGGAAATTCTTTGTATATTGGATATTGTTATTCAAATTGGATTTGAAAAAGTGATTTTTCAGACTGCAGTACATGTAGCTCTGAGGGTAGATTGAGATTTTCCAAAAGGTATTTGATCAAAGATAGCTCCAAGAAATACGTTTTCAGATCAGATCAAATTGATAGTGGATACACATGTATGCCCCAATACAATTTTATATGATTGCTAAGTCTTTTATTCTCTCTAGAAAGCCAGGGACAGAGAGTAATGACAGTTGTTTTGTTCCCTTATTGTTCTAAGATGTCATTAAGGGCAGTGCATATTAAAATAGAAGGCAAAGGTATACAAGGACCAGTGACTGCGTTAATTTATTATTATTAGTTTACTGTTATTAATTTATTAAACACAGAAAACAAATTACGGAGAACATTTTGTAAGAGCATCTAGCTATTTCTTGGAAATTGGGGACATTTTAATGGCAATGATGACATTAGATAGGAAAAGTCATCGTCAAGAGACTTGCTCTGTTTGTGTGTGAAAGGAGCAACTTTGACCAAGTTATTGCGAAAGCCACTATATTGCTTTCCTTTCTCCCTATTGCTATTATCCTGAGTGAAAAATGTACAGTAGCCAGAACAGAAGTTTTGACATTGTCTTGGTTTGCTGCTTCAGTGCAGAAGTCATCTTAAGACTGATCATTATTCAGTCCTTTTCCTGGTGAAGAAGGCCTGGCGTATATGTATCATGGATCAGGGTAGGTGACAGGATGACCACATTGGTGCTTGGAGCCAGAGGTGTATGTTAAAGTGTATCCAAAAGAGGGGGCCAATGTCGGAGGAGCGTGGGCCCCAGGTGATAGAACAAGGCATGAGGTCTGGGCAGCACTGGGACTTGAGACTTAAAGTCTGGGAGATTGACAAGAGCAAGGAAAAGCCGCTGACAGCAGGAGTGAAGATGCTGTTTGCAGTGGACAAGGAGGAAGGCATTCTGAGCGAATCCCCCACACATGTGCTCTTAGCCTGGCCAACTCAGGTGCTGAGGGAGCTGTATAATTGGTGACCTGCCTCCATTTAAGGGGCCCTGAGTGTGATGAGCAGCTATCTCCAGGAAGTTTTTTTTAAAAAATCTAAAAGGGAAAGATTTATTTGGCTGTTTCTTTATATTTCTTCCAAAAATCTAAAAAGGCAGAGATTTATTTGGTTGTTTCTTTATATTTGTATGTTAACAAGGATGATGTACCTTGGTGATGGTGGGGTCTTTTGGCCTTAATTATGTAAAATTGAAATAAGTTAGGTTTCATGGTGGTTACCTTCTGTGGAAAATGATAGTATGACAATTCAATATTTATGTTTGTCAGTATTGAGTGTGAACTAATTTGTTACTTGGAATTCACTCTGACTGAAATTAGGTCAAATGGTTAGTTCAAATGATCAATAGCGATACATTGCCATTGGTCTAGGAGCAGGCGCTAGGGAGCAAGGTGTGCTGCTGGGCTCTTTGAAAGGCTGGACAGAATGAAAAAGAGGAGGACTTGCCAAAGACTCTTACAATTAATAGTGGGTTTTTTCTTTACTGAGTAGAGGCAATGGCTGTGAGGAAACCATTCCTCTCTTAATATTGGTGGTTAATTCTTTGTTCTTGTACATATAGAGTATTTGCTCTCTCATTAATCATAAGTTAAAGGATTTGGGGAGATCACCTAGGGGCTAAGCAGGGTGACCACCTTCTGGATATCTCATCAGAGAAAAGCAGAGGTTCATGAATCCTGGTGGGGGATAGACTTTGTAGGTCATTAATCTCACAGTTCTCACCCTCCTTACTCTAGCGTTTGTTGAATATCTACAATGATGGAGATGCAAATCTGAATAAGAAGACATCCCAGCTCACAAGAGGCTCCCATCCTCATGAAGAAGCCAGGCACCTGGCTGTAATGGCTATTACTCTTATCAGAGGTCAATGTTGTTGAGTGCTGATTGGCGGCTGTCCACTCTTCTGAGCATGTGACTTGTTGTAACATATTAAACCTTGCCACGATACTATAAAGAAAATTCTGTTAGAATAACCCTATAAGAAAATGAGGCACCAAGAGTTCAAGGAAATTTTTGCGTTCCAACAGCTAGTTTGGTGAAGCCCAGAGTGGAGCTTGAGCTGCCTGACTCTTGAACACCCTCTCTTAGTCTCTGTGACACCACATAGAGAAACACCTGTGTGATATATGGTGCAGTGGGTACTTACACCTCCACCAGTCTCTTTTGAAAATCAGATGAGAATGGGGGCTTTGTGAATTCCATAAATGTCATAATCTCACTATAATCCATGGTGACAAGCCATCTCTGTATCACAATTAGGCAAAATTAGTCTAATGAGGGGCTGGCCCAGTGGCTTACTATTTATGTTTTCATGCTCTGCTTCAGTGCCCTGGGGTTCACAGGTTCAGATCCCAGGCACAGACCTAGCACCACTTGTCAAGCCACATTGTGGTGGCATCCCACATAAAATACAGGAAGATTGGCACAGATGTTAGCTCAGTGACAATCTTCCTCGAGGGAAAAGAGGAAGATTGGCAACAGATGTCAGCTCAGGGCCAATTTTCCTCACATCCACACACAAAATTAGTCTAAAGGGAGGTGGTGGATTTCTGGTCCCCAGGCAAACCGATTGTATCACAGAGTCCAAGCATGGGAGTGGAGCAAGAGCCCTTCCTGAACTAACCCCTCCATCCCACTCCTCCTTACACACCCTCCTTCCAGATAACCACTGATTTGCTTTCTGTCACTATAGTTTACTTTGAATTTTCTAGATTACAAATGGCATCATAAAGTATATGCACTCTTTCTTCTGGCTTGAAAGAAATTTCTTGGCATATTTATTTCTAGAAATTTGCCCATTTCATCCAAGTTATCTATTTTGTTTACACACAATTTTTAATAGTATTTTTTTTTTCTGTAAGGTCGGTAGTAATGTCCCCACTTTCATTTCTGATTTCAATAATTTTAGTCTTCTCTCTTTTTCTTCTTGGTCTGTCTAAAGGTTTTTTAGTTTTGTTGGTCTTTTCAAAGAACCAGTTTTGGTTTTGTTGGTTCTCTCTACTGTTATCTATCCTCTAATTTATTTATTTCCACTCTAATTTTTATTATTTGCTTCCTCATGATAACTTAGAGTTTATCTTGTTTTTCTTGCTCTTCTTTTCCTAGTTCATAAGGTGCAAAGTTAGACTATCGATGTGGCATTTTTCTTCATCTTTAATATATTAATTTCTTGCTGTAAATTTCTCTCTGAGCATTGCTTTCATTGAAGCTCGCAGGTTCTGGTATGATGATGGGTGTAGTTTCTTAAGTTCAGCACCTCGAGCACTGCTCCTCTGAATCTGTAGGACTGTTAAATTAAAAAGACATGCTATCTTAGTACAGTCAGCCTACAATGGTGGGATAGACATAGGACAACTGCTGTAAGTAGTCCTATTCAAAAAGGAATATAGAAGTCATAAATGAGCCAGTCATCCATAGCCATTCTTAAATGCAGCAGAGCAAATGTTGGAAGTCTTTTGAACAGGTTACAAAGCCTGCTAATAATTTTCTATGGCCCTCTGCTCCCAACTCTTGGCTCTTGCTTTCACCGTTTCTTGAAAGGGAGACGATATTTGTAGCTGAATAGTTTCTCAGTCTGCTTCCTAATAATAGAGTTTTGGGGATTTATTAGCATCTTAAAATTTGATATTGTCTCTCTCCCTTTTGGTACAACTGACAATGTTTCTGCTGGTATGGTTTTCTCAAAAACTCTGTGGATCCTCTGGGATTTACTCCATTAGACAAAAGCCACATCTACAAATATCATCTAAATAAACTGTTCTCTACTTTGAATTCTTGATGTGATAGCTGAGGGACAATTCCTTTAAGCTTCCTAGGGACCCTTTTGTTCAATTGAAAGGATCTGTGGTCTAGGACACTAAGCCACATGCTAAGTCTCTTTAGAAGCCCTTTGTGTGACTAAATAATATTCTGAAATTTTGATCTTTCTCTGGTTTACAGTCACATCCCTCCATATTATCGCTAAACCTCGTTTTCCTTAGAGAGCTGAGAAGTCAGTTCTTAATTTAGCTTTTCATTGCTCTCTGGAGACTGACACATTTCTCAAATATCAAATCCTGATTCTTTTTTGTTTAATAGTTAAATAGTTTTCTCTATTCTTTCATTTTGATATGAGTAGCAAGAAAAAAAATGATGTGGCACCTTTAGCATTTTATTTGGAAATCTGCTTAACTAGATCATCACGTTCATGGGACACATTTTCTGTTTCTCGCATAATTGCAGGTGAGAGTGTTGCTAAACTTTCTGCCATTACATAACAAGGATCAATTTTCCTATAGTTTCAGATATGTTCCTCAGGTATTCATCATAATCAAGTAACTAAGTCTAGCCTACATATAAAGGCTTGCATATCATTAGCCCTGGATCGTTGGAATCCTTTTTAGAAGCTACCTACCACATGTACATTTAAAAACCTGACATTTTAAGATATTCTTTTTATCACTGCTTTTGAAAAATTTGATTATTGTGTGATTTTCTGTAGTTTCATTCATGCTACTTGTTTTTGGGTTTGTTGAGATTCATGGATCTGTATGTTTGTTGTTTTTATCATATTTGGAAGTTTTCAGCCATTATTTCCTCTATTATATTTTTGTCCCCCTCTCTAACTGCTCCTCTTTAGGACTTCAGTTACTTGTACAGTAGACCACTTGAAATTGTGCTTCTGCTCAATGATGCTTTCTTCATTTTAAAAGATTTGATTTTGTCTATGTTTTTCGTTTTGATAGTTCATATTATTATATCTTCAAGTTAAATAATCTTTTCTTCTACATGCCTAATTTGCCTTTCATCCTATGCAGAGTGTTTTTCATCTCACTTATTATATTTTCATCTCTAGAAGTTCATTTCAAGTCTTTCTATATTTTTAGTGTCTCTACTCAATTTGTTAACCATCTGAAATACAGTTCCTGTTTTAATGTCCTTACTTGCTAATTCTAACAACTGTGTGCCTCTGTTTTGATTGATTGACTTTCCTCCTCACCCTCAATGTGGGTCAGATATTCTTGTTTCTTTGCACGTCTGGTAATATTTGACTAGATTCCAAACATTGTGAATATTATGTTGTCATATGTGGAAACTTTATATTCATATAACTATCTTGAGATTTGCTCTGGGACACAGTTAAAGCACTTGGAAACAATTTGAATTGTTGGGGGTCTGGTTTTTAAGATGTGTCAGGTGAGAGCTGTGTTTAGTCTAGGACTGATTATTCTCCAATCTTAGAGCAAAACTATTCTTGGTACTGTACCAATGCATTGTGAATTCTCAATTTTCAATGTGTTTGGTGGGAACAAGCTTTATTTGAGTCTCTATGTTAGCAATGAGCACTGTAACCTCTAATCTTCTTATTTGTTTTTTTTCTCTGACTTCATGTATTTTCTTTCCATGCATGCACTGACATAACTTTGCTGAATAGTTGAAGGAATTTTCAATAGATCCTTAGAATTCTCCATGTTGCAGTGCTCTTTTTCTTCAATCTTTAGCAGTCTTTAGCCATCTTCGTCTCCCTGGGCTCTCAGCTCCATCACCTCAACTCTTCAACTCTTCAAGAACAGTCTTGAAAAGTACTTGTATAATTGGATCTGCTCATTTTGGTGTCTGTACCATTGCTATAAAAACATGCCAGGTGGATGAGAAACATTTGGAATAGAGTTGAATCGCCCCAGTCACCAAGTTCCGACAGTGAGAACAGAGCTGTCTAGTATCCATTAGCTGACCCCAGCCCAGGAAGCCATAAACAGTTATTGCTGAATGTCATATAGTTGTATGATTATGGGTTTTTTTGGATAGCATTATTGTGGCTGTACAAGAGGAAAAAAGTATTTAATTGAGGTAAAATGCTATGGCCAAAGTAACTGGTGAAGCAGAATCCAATTTCCATTGCAACTTTTAGCAAATTTGAGATGATATAAAGTATTGGCTTTTGAGATAAAATGTTAGGAATAACTATTATGAAAATAAGTGAAGATCTAACCTTCATCATTTAAGAATACACTGGCTTATATTTCCTTAAAAATCAGTAATCCTATGTTACTACAAGTAGTTAGCAGTTGTAAATTAACACAGCATCATGTGCTGTTAAATAGTTAAATATTTACATAGTAAGTACTCTGTTGTTCATATGGGGTGATGATCTCATTAACTCCAACGGAATTGCTATGCTTCACCTTGTTATTAAGTCTGGTTTATGACGCTTTCTCTTTCTTCATAGAAAAATATATAATATATATAAATATACATCTATAAAATATGTATATTATATAACATAAGTTATATATGTTTTATATGTGTGTGTGTGTATATATATACACATAAATATATATAATGTAAGTGCTCTTGTTACTTGCTCCAGGTTAATTTAGAGCTTGGTAATATGGTCATTATAACCAACTTTTTGTTTGTTTTTAACTATTCGACCTATTGTGCTTTTCCACTCTTCATTCTATCATTTTTCTGTCCTTTTGGCTATAGCATTTAGGAGAAGTACCTTTATTTATTTATTTTTAATTAATTATTTTTTTATTGAGGTAACCTTGGTTTATAACGTTATATAAATTTCAGGTGTACATCACTGTATTTTGACTTCTGTAGCAGTACCTTTATTAAACAGTATTCTTTAGCTTTGAGGAATGACTTGTTTTTCATATATTTTTCAGAAACTCTTTGAAAGTTTTCTCTATTGGCATAGAATTGTATTACCTTACTTCCACATCCACATTAAATCAAGATTCTTTTCTTCATGTATTCATTTAATTGCCAAGAATGTCAGTAATATTCCGCATATGTTTTCAGTATCTGTAGCTGTCAGAGTTGCAATCCAATGTACACACCAGGATAGACGCGGAGAGGGCTGATGGCCACTCTGAGTTTATTATAACCAGCATTTTCAATATATACATAGCTTACAGGTGTTAAACATACACAGGTGTTCTGGATGAAGTAATTAGCAAATGCCAAGAATTCTTA